TACTAAAACCCAAAAAGGTAAACATTCAAACCCATATCTTACCGCCAGAACATGTTGTTAAAAGTTTTATTGATCATATTAAGTCTTTTAAAAGATGACAAAGTCATTATGCTTTACAAGTTACTAGTTGTATTTACCAGAGGAACTAAATTTATCAAAAATGTATGATAGGTACAGTAAATACCACAAAATAGAGTTAATTATAAAAACTACAGAGGCTATAATGTTTAATTATTTAAGAATATTATTAATTGGGGCAGCAATTGTTTCATTCATCATATATATATATATATATATATATATATATATATATATATATATATATATATATATATATATATATATATATATATATATATATATATATATATATATATATATATATATATATATATATATATATATATATATATATATTAAATATATATATATTGTCAGTCGATGTAGCAGCATTCCCTTGCGAGTCAGGCTATTTGTCAGTCGATGTAGCAGCACTCCGTTGCGAGTCAGGCTATTTGTCAGTCGATGTAGCAGCACTCTGTTGCGAGTCAGGCTATTTGTCAGTCGATGTCGCAGCACTCTGTTGCGAGTCAGGCTATAAGATAGTCGATGTAGCAACATTTACGCATGTTTAAAAAATGTTTTTTATTAAATCAATAACAAAAACACCACTAATTAAAAAAAACTTTCTAGTCGTTATAATTGCGGTTTTTTAAAAATTTTTTAAAAAACAATTAAATTTAATGTATTTCCGCATAAATTAATTGCTTTGACATTTCAATGACAATCAAAAACAGCTTAAGAGACGAGGTAATTAAAATTGTAGTCGTAAGAGACTTTTTTTACATTAAAATGCTCTTAAAGCTACACTATATGGGTATATATATATATATATATATATATATATATATATATATATATATATATATATATATATATATATATATATATATATATTGAATGTAGACATCATGTATGAGAGTATGTAAATTATTATTTTATAAACATCAATAAATACGATTTTCTCTCGATACTAAATTTATTTTTTATTTTATAAAAGAAATTTTCGCTGGATTGTTGTGACCAGCGTCTTCATCTTAAAAGATTTTGTTTGTTTTTGTTTATATGTTATTTTTAAACGGCAATTTTATTATATGTCAATGGAATGGTTTCGTCTTTTTCTGACGTAAGTGCATTAGAAATGGTGTCCAGAATTTTGTTGACACATATTGTCCCTCATCTAAATTAATACCACTTTGTTGAGGGGCACATCGGTGGTACTGTATTTTAAGCGCCTCACGAACTTTCCTATCAAACTTTTTGTTATTGACTTTTAGAGTTCTGCAACTGTCCCAGTTAATTTGTTGTGCACAATGTTTCATGTGTGTGGCTAATGCTGATCTTTCTGTTTTATTTCCTATTGTACTGTTTTTGTGTTGTTGCATGCGTGTTTTTATTTGCATTTTTGTTTCACCAATATACTTTTTGTTACAATGGCACTTAATAAGGTAAACTCCTGGGTGGCTGTTCCTTTGTAGTTTGGATTTATTTCTTGAAGTTAATATTGCTTCTAGGTTTAAGTTTGATTTAAAGACCGTTTTATATCCTGCCTTCCTAAACACTTTACGCAATTTGGGAGACAATATTGGTACCCAAAGTAATGAAATTGTTGGATACGTACTGGTGATGTTGTCAATGTTTTTAGTAGTCACTAGAGGTTTTTTGTACTTTCGTTTTATTTCTTTTATGATTTTTATAAGATTGGAATATTTGTAACCATTTTCGACAAATACTTGAATAAGGAATTTCAGTTCATTTTCTATATGTTTCTGACTGCATACATTAAATGCTCTATGTACAAAACCCTTGAATATTCCATTTAAAATTTGTGGGTCATGGTTTGATGTTGCCTTAACTTGAATGTTAGTAATTGCATTTTTTCTGTGTATTTTAAATTCGTATTTGCCATTTTTGTTATTTATTATGCATAAGTTAGAAAATTTATTGTTTTTTTGTCATTTTCAAATTCGATTGTATATTGTATTTTTAGATGTGTCATTTTTGGATGTATTTTGGATGCTGAGAACAAATTGGGCTAACTAAAATAATCAATGAAGATCCGACACAAAGTTACGCAATGAAAATTAAAGTCCAACTATCGAAATTAAATAAAAAAGGTCGGTTCACAAAAGATGAATATCAGCAAATTTATCCCAGTGACCCAATACCACCTCGTATGTATGGTGTAGTGAAGGCACATAAACCTGAATAATCTTATCCAATGCGAATTGTAGTATCTACAATAGACACACCAAACTACGGAATCTCAAATTACTTAGTAAAACTAATACAACCAATATTAAATGAAAACCCAACTCGATTAAAAAATTCGCAACAATTTGTAGAAAAAGCAAATTCATGGGACATATCCAGTGACGAAATTCAGATATCATTAGACGTTATAAACTTATATCAGTCAATTCCACTTAAAGAAGCAACTGATGTACTCATAAGTATATTGGAAGTGAGCGATAATTTTAAAAAAATGACAAAATTAAATATAAAAGAAATAAAAACTCTGATAGAACTATGTTTATAACGACCATACTTTTTATGGAACAATGAAATACATGAACTTGAAAATTCAGGTCCAATAGGTCTTTCTTTTATGGTAGTTTTAGCTGAATCTTTTCTTCAAAATCTTGAAAAAAGAGCGCTTAATATAGCGCTGAAAACCAACCCGATTATTGACATAAAATCATTTTATAGATACGTAGATGACAGCCATGCTAGAGTCCCTAACATTGCCTAGGCTAATCAATTCAAGACAATACTTAACCAACAGCATCCAAAAATAATATAAAATTTCTATAACTATACAAATATATATATATATATATATATATATATATATATATATATATATATATATATATATATATATATATATATATTTATATATATATATATATATATATATATATATATATATATATATATATATATATTTGTATAGTTAAGCACTTACGGGGACAGATTTTACAAAAAAACAAACACGGGGACATAAGCATTATCGGGGACATTTTAGTGTACCCATTAATTTTTTGTCCCCGTAAGCATGATTTTTTTTGTAAAAAAATGTACCTGTAAGAAACTTTTATAGAGAACAAAAAGTACATACATCGACTGACAAATAGACTGACTCGCAATGGAGTGCTGCTACATCAACTGTGGGTTTGGTTTGGCCAGGCATCAAGGTCAGGCTTAGGGTTAGGGTTACGGCAAGTTTTAAATTTGGTTATATTATTGTAACTAATCATTTTTGTTAATAGATGAAGTTAAAAATGAAATATAATATAAAATAAATAAAAATAACAAAAATTAATATAAAAAATATATTTTTATAATAAAATAATAAATTTAAATATGTATAAATAAAAATAGAAAAAATATAAAAATTAAAAAATATATATAAATATGATAAAAATAGTATAAAAAAAGTAAAAAAACAACAACAGAACGGGAACAAAAATAACATGTCTCCGAAAGTCGCCAACTAGTTTTTAATTGCGTTTAAAAAAAATAACTTTAAAACTTATCTTTATTAAAGTCACGCAAAAACATTTTTTAAAACAAGTGCAAAAAAAATAAAGAATTAAAAAAAAAAAAAAAAAAGTTGTCTTTTTAAAAGTGTAATTTTTAACCATTTCATTCTTTGATTAAAAGTCAAGTTTAAAAAAACAACAACTTTTAAACAATTCTTTGTAAAAATAGAAACAACAAAAAAAAGCAATTAAATCTTCGGATAATTTATTCATAATTTGAAAATAATAATCTTTTAATATAAGATTTTTTGAAAGACTTTTATGATAAATTTAAATGTTTGAAACTATTTTAAAAATAGTTTCAAACATTTAAATTTATTATAAAAAATACATACTACTTAAAAAAAATCAAATGTAACATTTAATTTACACATAATCCATAATAACTATAATTTTAAATTATAATTTTTGATTTTATTTAAAATTTTTTTAAGTTTTTAAACTTTAAAAAAGATCAACGATTAAAAGTTATTTGTAACGTAATGTTTTTTTTATTGCATTTAAATAGTTAAAACTTCAAAAAAGCTGTTATCAAATTGTAATGCATCTGTACACCTCTTATATATATAGATACAAATATACTTTTTTATTTTTCATGACATAATACTCTTTAAATGAGATTGGTGACACCATTCCCTATGTTTTTTTTTTTAATTTTATTCTAAATACCCCAGTATTGACAAGTATTTTTATTTTAGGTAAAGCTACAGTTAACCAGTCTAAAAGTATTTTTTTTGCTTGTTGTGCTCTTATCAGTGGAGGCTTTTTAAACATTAAAATTGTTAATTGAAATAATAAAAGAAAAAAAATTGCTGCCCGATGCCAAACCTTTGGCTGATATAGCAACACTCCCTTGTATCAGCAGGCTATAGGATAGTCTATGTAGCAGCACTCCCTTACAGCAGTCGACTATAAAATAGTCAATCTATGTATTGAAGCCAATAAATATTTATAATTTTTATATTAAATAGTCTCCACTTTGAACAAGTTGCCACCGAGAGTGCAATAAGTATAAAAACAAAAATAAAAAAATTTTCAGACCGCCTAACTCTAGCTTCACCTTATTTTAATATTCCTTACTATTCTTATACATAGAGGTTTACAAACAAGAATAATTTTTGAAATTTAACAAAAACAGCAAATGGAGCAAACCAGGTTTTTTATTTATAATAATGCTAATAAAGGTTAAAAAAAACATTTGTAGCATTGTTAATATACATATAATTAATAAAGTTGGTGTTATACTTGTAAAGTTTAAATCAATTTTATTATTATTTGTAAATACTTTTGTAAAAAAAACTAAGTTTTTTCTTTAAAAATTAGAAGAAAAGTAAAACTTAAGTAAAAACTTTTAGTTTTTAAGACAAATGTTAAATCAAAAAAAAATTCACATACACTTAAATTGTTAGTTACAGCAATGCAATTGTACAGTGCTAATCCAAATGAACCATTGTGTCTTGAATCAACATGAAATTTTTCTTCATAAAAAAAGCATATTCGTCGCAAAAACTCTCCAATTATTAAAGATGAGATCACCATAGACACTAATGTCAAATCTTCTACAAAACATCTAGTTTGAAAAACTGTTGTAAAACCAAAATAACTAGGAACAACAAATAAACATATTAAACAAAGCATTAAAAACATCGTATACAATTCTCTACTTTTACGTTCATCAAAAATTGGCCCAAAGCCATTGTTTATTTGATTTATGGAATGATCATTAAGCATTTTAAATTTAAACTTTATTTCGACATCCCTTATTAACAACAATCGAGGCACACGACTTCCATGTAATTATATCAGCTATTCGATAAGCGGGCGTAAAAAGAGTTTTACTATTATTTATTATACGATTTCTGAGAACTAAAATTCCCTGAACTTCAATTTAAAAAAAAACAAAATATTAAATGACGACACACTAAATAATTAATAACGCTCGTAAGAATTTTACAATTAACTAAATAGTACTCAAGTCGAGAGAAATGTTCATAGAATCCCTTAAATAACAAAACAAAAAAAGAGTTTTAATTTTATTAAGAGTCTGATTCCACACCTAGCTTGAATTTAACAAAATGATAATACAATGTTAGATTACTAAAAATATATGCGCTAAAAAACTACTAATGTAACACTGTAAAGGTTGATTTACAATTATTCGTACTCTTGCATTTAAATTTACTTACATGTTTTGATCAAACTTTTAAAACGCAGTTTTCCATTTTTATCGTATATATATCGTATGTATATATATCGTATTATTATATATCGCATATTTTAAAAGTTGTTTTAGTTTCTGGCTTATAATGCACTCATGATTTCAAATGAAAAATTAATACATTTAGGCTTTAGGTTTTTAAACTATAAAAGAAAGAGTTTCATCATAATTATCTGAGTCATTTTATAATCCATCTTATTGTCAACATTTAAATGCAACTTGATTTCAGACTCAACTTCATGACCTTTATTTCTTTTACAACTTTCATTTCTGTTTCAAAATTTACTTGTTTTTTTCCTTTTTTTTACATTTTTTTCTTTTTCATTTTTCACTCTTTCTCTGTACAACAAGCATTAGGACATTTTTAGGACGTTGCATAGACGTCTTGCGGACGTTTATGCCCACAGGGAAAACAAGTTGGTTCTTGTTCTTTTACCCATGCAAATTTATAATCAACTTTTTATTATTCGGTTGTACGTCATTAGTTAAAATTATGGTGTTATATGTGTCAGATAAGGCTCTTTTCTAAAAATGTTAAAGCTGCAGATATTCAAGATCACCTTTTTAACCTAAACTTTGTATTTCCAAAGTTATAAACGCGAAATTTTGGATTTTTATAGTTTTGTAAAATTTAGTAATGGCTTTTTGAAAGAGATGTTGCATAAGTCTTGTAAAAGTTGTATATTTACATATAATTGTATTATTCGGCCAGGACATGTTTAAATTACATTAGCAAGGATACGTTAAAAGTACAATATATTTTTCTAACGACTAAAATACTAATGTTGTTCCGACTTTAAGATAACTCAACTAAATCGATTAAGGTTTTTTTCAAAGTCAACTAAAATCAACTAATATTTTGTGGAAGTTGACTAAAAGTCTATTTAGTCGAAATATTTGAATTTTATAAAATTATAATATTTAAATGTTGCACGGCAATTTATTTCTTAGATGAAACAAATAGAACTTTAAGAGACTAAACAAAAAATTAGGTGGTATTATTCTATTGGATTAATTTAAATCAAGAATAAACAAACAAAACAGAAATTACAATAGAAAAAAGTAAGATGAACATTTTATTAGTCTTAGTTTAACTAGACACTTTATTCAACCAAATCTGGTCTATTTTGCCGTTCTGTAATGATTTCGGCAGCACTTATACAAAAGAGCATTTTCGCTATCTTAGACAAAACTGAAATTGGCATAAATTATTTTTATAAATGCAAGGGGACATGAATTTTCCAATACTTTTATATTCATATTTAAATAATTGATGATTTTGTTGTCTACTGATAACAAATTTTCTGATGACACTGTTTCATCGCATGACAATATATATATATTTTTTGATGAGCTTCTTTGACTAGATGACGACTCTTGCCTAGACAACTGAAGGCTTGTTGATGTTAGCTGCAATTCATGGCTCATGAACAACTAAAGAATGAGCTTTTTTAATACAAGAAATTTTCGCTGTTTTGTTCAATATAAATTTAAAATTACAAAATTGCGGATCTAAATATGTAGCTGCGTACAACTTTTCGATTTTAAGAAAATCCTCACATCTTCAATTAAAATTATCTTTAAATTTGATGGAAAGATTCATAATTGTAAGATTATTTGATTCACTTTTGAAGTTAGCAAAGTAATCAATTAATTTATAAACGGCTGGTAATATAATTGAACAAGCGGTGATCCGCTCAAAATTTTTGTAAAATTATGTGTTGGCTCTAAAAAATCAATTAGCTCGCCTATGAGTTCCAGTTTCCAGCTTTTTAACAACAAATCCTTATTATCTTTATTCTCTGGCTTAATGATAACGTCTTTGATCGATTTGTTAAGTTTAAACATTGACTGCAACATTAAATAGGTCGAAATCCACCGAGTAGCAACGTCATGTTTCAGTTTGTTAGTTTAACATTTATCTTCTTGATTGCCAATTTTCATATTATTCAACTCAACTCAATTTACAAGCCGAGCAGAAAGCTTATAACTATGTTTGAATAAGCCAACGAGTTTCCTATATTTCTTTAAAATTACGAAAACGCAATGATTTTTGTAATTGATAGCTCATTCTTTTTTACAAGAACATCTTTAACAATTAAATTTACTTTATGACAAAAGCAAGGCATGTACAATTTATTAATTAGATCTTCTAGACAATATTTGATATTCACAGCAGTGTCATTACTCGTTAAAAGTATTTTATCACTTTTCAATTCATTTAGAATTAACTCAATTTGCTCCTTTAAATATAGGTTAGTATGGGCTTATGGGCTATGCTTTAATGCAATCCGAATCGATTTCAAACAAAAATTGTGATCAACAAAATTTACTGTGGCGCCGGTGTATGAATGCAAGGCTTGTGATGTCCATCCATCCGTGGTTAGATGGCAAAATTTAACTTGGTTTAAAAGGTGCATTACTTTTACTTTAAATGATTCAAATTTAAAAGGCATTATTTCATACAAAAATTTTTATCTCTTTGGCAATTTGAACTTGTTATCAAACGAAGCTAGCTTTTAATAAAATTCTTTTAATAAAATTTGTAATTAATAAGTTCGGTAACAAATAACAGTGGTAAAACGCAACAAAATGTTTACCAATAACTGTGTTTTTACAATTCACTAAATTGTGTCGTGTTTTGTGGTTAACTTTACCTTCTCGGCAATATTGGAACTCGTTACAGTCATTGCAAACAATACAACTAATTTGTTAATTTTTGTTTATTGATCGTTCATCGCAATAATGTGAATAACAAAAAAACTGAATTTATGCTAAAAGTCATCAATATATTTTATAGGTATTTACCACTACTAAAGTTTCTTTTCAAAAACTGATATTTGCCCTTCCCGCTCGGCACGCGTTGTGCGGGGGACGTCATTCGTACGTTCCACTGACGATGCAACCGCCCGCTACTATAATAATTGTACTGCGTTTAAAATCTTTTAAACTTAGTACAATTAATAGACTGTGCTTGAATTTAACATTTATATATTAAGATACCGTAACTGCTAAAGGAAACGCTTGAAATCATCTCAAAGGTATGATTGTTTAGGATTATAACGTTTTGAAAAAATGGTCCATTGACTGATATCCCAAAAGTTAAGATTCTAATGATCCCCCACCAAAAAATACTGTGGGCGCCCAAGAACATTTTTTATGAGAATTAAAGTAATACATTATCGAAGCAATACATCAGATGAAAATTATTTGCAAAATTCTTATATGATGATTGGTTAAGAATTTTTCAACAGACCCCATAGAATAAGCATTTGGGAAATGATAGTAGTGGGTACAGGCACGCCGGAAAAGGGTAGCCTAGGGTAGCAACTGCTACTCCTGCCCTTTTGGCTGGGGTGACAAAGGTAGGATGAATGTGCTCTTTCTAGGAAATAGGTATGGTAAATTTTTGAGCTTTAAAAGCGTTTCATTATCCAACTTTTATTATCAATATTTTATTATCAATATCTACCAACTGGAACTAGTAATAGATGGAATAGATGGTAATAGATTAATTTTTTAAAAAGAAAACAGTTTAAAATTGATTTAAATGAAACTTTAAAAATTATTTTATGAAAGAGAAAAAAAAAACCAGATCAATTTGCGGCGATTTTTTTTGCCTTAAAAATTCCTATAGCTTTATTTTAAGAAACACGAAATTTGGTTCAAAACGTCCGCAATTTTTATAAAAAGTTGCACAAAATTACCATCTTTATCATTGAATTAGGGCTATAGATATATATTCATGTATTTTTGTATATTATGTATTTTTAAGTGTAAATATATATCATGTGTTTTTTTATAAAACCTGGTAATATAATTGAACTTTATAAAAGCCTTCTGAAGAAGTTAAAAAAAGAATTTTAAAGCGAGTTTGATAGTAAGTTATTTTATCGGCAAAAAGATAGTTCAGAAACCATTATGAACTTTTTAATAGGTTATTCTTTAGTCATAATAACAGAATGTATTTTATGACTATGGTTATTCGGAGAAAATTTGGCGCGTAAAAATAAAATAAACTGTTTTCGTTACATCCGTATCCGAAAATTTCGTAGATCATAGCAAGTGGAAGAAAATCAAAAAAAAAAAAAAAAAAATTGTGATAAGCAGCAGTTGTGCGACATCACAATTAAAAAATAAAAAATATCGAAAAACAGGAGTCCAGTATAAAAAATGATGAAATTCTAAGGAAAGTCTTGTTAGAAAAGCGGAGGATTTCAGTGAAATTGATAAAAAAAAAAAAACAGTGACAGAAATGGAGGAACTTGTGTTAAGGCTTGGTTTAATGAGTTTAGTTGATTGATCACTGAAATCTGTCTTTTGTAAAACCTATACAAAATAGGATTCATGCTTTGATTGGAGTGTTCAAGTATGGAGTCGGGAAAGGATTTAGAACATGGAGCAAATATGCTGCAGCACTAAAAGATCACGAGGACTCCAGTGTTCATAAGGATGCATGAGCTCTAAAGATTGAGAAAGAAAATATAAAGTTTACAACAATTAATGTTCAAATTGACTAAATATACATGGCCATGTACGTTTGGTCAATTTTCCATATGGAGAAGCAAACAGTTCAAAGAAAAAGACTTGCTTGGTCATTTCGGAA